ACCTTGGCCTGCATGGGAGAGGTATTGGGCTTGATGGTGTTCACGTAACGGGCCTTAATGAAGGAAGCTAGGCAAGAATTTCTCTCGTTTGACGGGCTCATCTGGGCGCACATCCTTACTATAATCTCCGCCAACAAGAGAGCGAAGCTCGGAGTCGACTCGACTTGAAAGGAACCTGTGTCGGGAGGGAGAGTGGTCGAGCTCTGTATGTCGTACACGTTATGGTAAAGTTGGCCGATAGAGGTGTCAGCAATGATGTCATCGACAGCGAGGGCGAGGGAGTCAGCTTCGGTGCTCTGAGGGGCGCTGTGGGTGCTGAGGGGGCTGCGGGGGTACCGCTCCGTGAAAATCTCCTTGTGGGGCACGTAGCGCACCGCATCGACACAGGCCCGACATCGACACAGGCATCGAAAGGTTCGATATTCATTAGTTTGGTGGTTTTAATTAAAGACTTTGATATTCTACCACCCCTAATTATACCACACCTAGTTTAGTGATTTAGTGAGTCAAGCTTAACTAAACAAACTCTTAAGTAAGCTCGAAACTGAATCGTTTATCAATTAGCTCAAGCCAAGCCGAGTTCGTGTACAGGCTTCTCGTTTCACAGAAATTTCGATTTCATCTCTATTCTGAAGTGATGCTCCAAGGCGCCCAACAACTTATTCGTTGTTATCCGTGATTGTTCCTAATATTGGTGCCAATTGCTAAGACATTGCTGAAAATCCTAATCCATAGTATAAAATAGTAAAATATGGCCCGATGCAATGATTCAGTTTTCATAATTAAATTGGTTAATGTTGTTTAAAAAATAACGAAAGTTGCAACCATGACTGCTCGGGGTGGATGTCCATGGGGTTCTGAATGATCATCTACTTCACATTGCTTTGGTTTTTGTACATATTTAATTCTGAGTATCCACATCAAATAGATAAATTTATACTCACACGGTCCAAGTTATGCAAAATAAATAAAGAAATATAAAATAAAATAAAGCGAATATAAGCTTATTGTATACAAATAAATCATGTCCAATTTTATAAAAAGCTCCAACTTCTATAAGATGCTTATTTATGTAATGCTTGTTAAAAGCTTTAAATAACTCTTCAACTAATTCTTTTTATGTATCAACTCGATTTTCAATCATCAAGCTCGAAACTCGTTTATCAACTATTAAGATAATTTATCAGTTACTGTATAATTTTTCAGCTAAATATACTAAACATATTCTTAATCATATTCCTAATTTTTTTTTTAAGGGAGCTCTTTTCCTTCTCTCTTTTCCTCAGTCCTCACCATTTTCGTTGGAGCATCTTCTCGGATTAGAAAAGGTGACAACTTTTTAATTTGACTATACTCGTTGCTTGAATATTCAGTTGGATAATAATACAGACAAGTTGGAACTATGAAAGTCCTCCTGGCCCAGTGCATTGATTGACTACAATTTCCTTATGATTAGGAATACTTAATCCTACCTAATCCTTAGAGGCGCGGTTTAGAGAAGTGGTTTGTTCTAACCACATCCCATAAAAAACCGTAAAACTTTTCAGATACTTTCTATAAATAGCAAGATGAGAAGATATTGGAAGGCTCCTCAATCACCATTATATGCGTTGACTTGTTTAGTAACCAGAATTTTGGGGTCAAAGTAGATACTTGAGGGTGAATTAGAACTTAGAAGTATGATCATCACTATAAGTAATATTTTGAAATAATAAAAATATCAACTTTAAGAACTTTCTGGAATAGATGATTCTAATACTAGTTTATATTTTACACAATTATGTTCTAAATACTCCTGCATAATAGGCTAATTCAATCAATTAGTAGAAAATATTAATTCAGTTAGTTATTCATCATTAACTATTCAAACCTATAACAATTAACACATTACTTCAAGAAACAGGATCGTTACGTGCTTAGTTTAACCAGATAAAAAACATTGAATGGCGATTGTTTCGTGCTTATAGCATCACCAATACTTTAATGTTGTTATAAAAAATTAAATGTAAGAAAAATGTTAAGTTTACAATTATGAAATTAAAAGTTTTCTCCAATTCACAATATACTCTAAATACAATATTATATACTTACTAAATATTATAAATTTTAAGAAAAGTTATAAAATTATTTAAATAATTGGATATATTGGGATTAGTAGGAATAATTTTAAAATTAAAAAAAAAAAGTTATAAAATTAATTAAATAATTCCATAACTTTTCTTTATTGGTTAGCTAAAGTGTAGGACCACATCTATATATATATAATTGCTGGCATATAACATTTAATAAAACCTAATTAATAAAACCTCTATTCATTTTCCCGCTCATTTTTTCAATTAATGTAGAACCGTTACATTTTACATTAATAAAGTGTAATAATAATTTTAAACTAATTTATTCACTACTAACACTAATTGATTACAACTTTACATTAAATAGTATGTGGAAGTTACATACTTATAAAAAATTGTATTGCAATTTTTTTCATTAAAATATTTTTTCTAAAATAAAATACTTTTGTCTTTTTAAGCGATTTTTATCTAATATTAGTTAATTGACATGAGTGTCAAGAATTAAACACCTTAAAATTACATAAACAAATGCTATAACAATGATTAAATAGTTGTAATACTTTTCTAACTAATTAATTGTATGGTCCCTCTAAGTTACTAAATTATATTAGCCATTAAAATTTATGGCATCAATATAAAGATTCAAACGTAAGTTAAATAAATTATATTTACATTACACATTTGCATGTAGTCAAAATTTAAAATGTAATACATTAATTATATAATATCAAATTTTTATATATTGTATACATACATATAATATATAGATTTTTATTTTTCTTTGTGCATGTGCACATGATGAATACTAGTTTTTTTCTAATTGTAGACATTAATTATGTCCACATAATCACAACATTTGTGATCATATTGTACATTGAAGAATAAAAAATTCTGACTTCATTAAATATGTTGATGTGAAATGTAATTTACTACAACATTAAGCATTGGAGATACTCTTAATTCACAAATTTATTAATCTGGAAAGTAAAACTTGTCTTCTAAGCCTAGTTGGGACAGTGTGGCTATTGAATATGAAACTTTATTTCTGACAAATTTCATTTTATAGAGATTGTGAATGTTAATTATTTTTAAAAAAGCAGAACATTTATTTTATCTGATTTCTTCTCCACACTCAATAATTCAAACATAAAAAATGGTATTTAAAGAAAAAATATATATTCTTCACACTTCTAACTATCAATAAATATCAGTTAACAATTTATTATTTTTATACAAAATTAATATTAATAATAAATTTTTAACTTATACCATTTTAAATATTTCAATTTTTCCTAATCATATTATTTTTACTTTTGCAGTTGATTACTGCAAGAAAAAAGAAAAAAAAAAAAGGGAATTTACTATATACAGTCAGCCTAAATCTAGATACTATACTATTCTCATATGTAAAACTTTGTAATCCTAGAATGAATGACCCAACTAACACTTTGTGAAGTGAAGCTTCCTAATCCCAAAATAAATTGCCCCATGAAACAAATTTTATTTTAACAGGTTTGATTATTATTGTAAATTTATTTACTTGTGTTCTGTATCTTTCTTCCAGCATATATATCTTCCCTACAAGTGCATGTACGTAGCTTTAGCATACGCCCGTGCAAACCTTCTTTTTGACCATTTTTGAGGTTTGAAAAGGAATAGGATTCTTCTCCTTTTGGTGGATCGTCCTTTCAAGTGCTGGAGCGCAAAAAAAAAAAATATGGGAATAGAATATACGTTTGCAAATGAAAGTATGTCCAAGGCAGTGAATTTATGTCTATCTGAGTTTTGACTATCCACAAAGAATTGTTATCATCTGAGTTTTGACTATCCACGAAGAATTGTTATTCGTATATTCCCTGTAGCAAGACTAGGTTTTCATTTATTTCTCAGAAAATGAAAAAGAAAAAAGAAAAATAATAAATAAAGATGAGAGGTTTCCTAATCCTCGCACAGACAATTTCTTAACAACCAATACACTCAGACGTGTAGAATGTTATTTGATAAGCACCATAACTAGTATATTGCATAATTAGTTACCTTATAACTTTCTTATATTCAACTAAGCAAGTTTGATTTAGTACAATGAACTTATATAAAAATTTGGTTAGCTTATAAACTCCCTGTATTCAAATAAACCCCGTTTGGTAGGACGCACTTTTTTAAAAAGCTCGAGCTTATTTCATAAGCTTCTTTAGGTAGTTTTTCAAATAAGCTAGTTGAATATTTTATTTCAACTAGCTTATCAGCTAATTATACCAAACATTTTTATTGATAAGTTAGTTTTTCAGCTATAAAAAAGCTCAAAAATTACATATAAGCTATTTTTATAATTTTAATTTTTCTATTCTCTTAAAATTATTGAAGATTATATATGATACACACATGAATTGTTAATTCTTATTTCTCCTCTAAAACAAGACCTATTTTAAACAGAAATGTAGGTACATTGTAAAAATGTTTAACAATTTATCTAAACTGCAATGCATATTCATTTTTAAAGTATGAATATACTCAATAAAAAGTGAAGAGTACAATTTCCTGTAAATAACTAATAATTACTATATCAGGAAAAAAAAAACTAAATGTTCAGTAACAAAGAATAAACAGATTGAAATATAATGAACTTTTTTTAAGAAAATTCATGATTATTTAAATGATGATAATAATAATAATAATAATAATAATAATAATAATAATAATAGTAATAATAATAATAATAATAATAATAA